TTTTCAGCCAAGCTAGTACCAGTCGGCTATGGTATCAAAAAGCTTCAGATCCAGTGCGTTGTTGAAGATGATAAAGTTGGAACAGATATGCTGGAAGAGAAAATAACAGCTTTTGAGGATTATGTACAATCAATGGATGTAGCTGCTTTCAATAAGATTTAAGTCTTGATATATCTAGAATAAATGTAATTGCAAAAATTTTTCTGTGGTCAATTAAAAATCATGGTGTAATCTAACTCAAAAATGTAAAATTTGGTTGATGGGTAAAATAGAAGCTAAAACTGAATTTCAGAGTTGCTCCAACACCACACTGCAGTACCCAAGAGCATGAGCAGTCGAAGTAGAAAATGTACATGGTAAACTGGTGGTCAATCCAGATTTAGCATGTATGTGGCTTTAAAAATCTGAAATGCTCTTTGTTCCATTTTTGGGGCAAGTTGCATCTTTGAAAATTTCTGTAATTCCTCTGGGAGGAGGGATGGCTTTAAGGGAAAGGCACAGGGCTCAGTCAAAATGCAAATAGCTTTTTTAGCAGATAAACAGCAGTACAAATCTCTCTTGTTAATAGAGTGGCAACTAACCGGATACACCGTGGCTGTTTTTGAAAGCTAAAATGGAGCTTCACTGAGGGAGGGGTGATGAAGGTCAGTTAGAAGCAACTGCAATGCATGAGAGATGACAAGGAATGTAGTGAACCAGACTTCTTACCTGAGCTGAGACAGCCAGGGTCCTCTCTCAGCTCCTGCTGTGTGGACCTGGAGCACTTCTCTTCCAAGGTGTGAAAACACTTGTGGTGCAATTACTTCAAATTACGCATGTTTCCTGGGGTGTCTTAATTACTACAGGAAAAAACGGTGTTAATAAAAGCTCCTGCTTTTGTAGGCCAAGGTCCTTGTGTGTTGTGCACCTTGAGCAACCTGGGCGGGTGGGGGTCAGCCTGGGGAGCGGGCTTGTCCTCCCTGGAAGGTGCCATGAGCTCCGAGGCGACTAGGTGGCAGCACACGCAGGCCACAAGGGCTGGGTTGCAGCGGCTGCCAAGCCCCGGGCCTGGTAGCCTGAGGATTAATGGAGTGCAGTGACTGCAGGTTGCAGCTAATGCAGATGGATAATTTACTTACATAATAAACTTGAAGCATGCTCCAGGCTAAAAACAACAAAAAATGTAGGTATTCAACTAAAATGCAAAGATAGTATAATTAACATAATTACACTAGTAGCATAGTAGCATAAGTATACAAAGTAGCATAATTAAAACCAGTTCTGAGCTGCTTACTTGGCTCCAGATTGGTTTCTAGATTGATTTTGACATTTTTTAAAGATTGAAAAGTCAATCAGAATTAAATTGTTTTCTGAAAATCTATCCATAGCAATGATCCAAATGTAAAAGCTGTCGAAGTTATGAAGCTTCTAGACAAATCCACTTGTCTAGGCCTTCTGTTGGGCTGAGATAGATGGAGAATTTATTGTGACCATGAAATGGAAGCATTTGATGTGCCACCTTGGTCACTCTGAGATGACAACGCTTGGTGCTGAAGCCTGACAGCAGCAGCTAAAATAACTCTTTTTGTTCTTTTTTCACAGCGTGTCTGTATGTGGTTATCTGGCACAGCAGGTCCTGTTTCTCTATGTTTAATGGTCTGCCAACTTCAGATTATGCAAGAGCTTTGTTTAAGAATTTGTCTCAGAAAAAAAAAAATCTGCCTGCCAGAGGTTTAAAGCATGATCAAAGAATTGAAAGTAAGTATAATTACAGGCTTCATTCCCACCTTCCATAAACTTAACTCCTTAAAGGACTAGCTTCATCCTGTGTGTAATTAATGCACAGTACCCTTTCTGTGGCAATTCTCTATTTGTCACTTCTGCTAAATCATGTAGCTCAGTTTTAGCAATTCTGTCACGGTGCTGTTAAAAGCCAGAAATTAGCAAATGCCACATCAGAAAAAGATGAAATAAAAATTCTGCCACAAAAATGTGATTTTTACTATTCTTGGCCATCACTGTTTCTGACCTCCCATTCAATGTGCTTCTTACCTTTAAACTCTCTTCTTGACTTTGAAATTAAAGCTCTAAGTGGATAAAATGGTTTGATTTATAGACTGTAACTTTGTTAAAATACAGCATTATGAGCCATGCATCTGACCTGCCAGGCTGGATTTTCCCGTGTTTCATTTACACTCAGCATGCACGTACAAACTCTTCAGTTGTTGAGATTTCTTTTGTGGTTTTTTTCCCTGATGTTAGAAGGAAACTTGCTGCTACAGGAACAAAACAAAGCAAGCTAGAGAGCACAGTATCCCCAGTTACAAAATAGATACACATGTGGGCAAGAGAATTCCACAGAATCCGCATACATCTATGTTAGGGGTTTTGTGTAGTATTTGGGTATGTGCTGGTATATCACTGTGTCACTGTGCCTGTGAAAAATGGGTATCTGGGAGTAAATGAGATACTTCTATCCCAAGTGCACTACATAACAGAAAGATGAGCAGAAAGTTCCGTAACTTAAATATGTGATATGTATGAATACTGGGAAAACAGTTTCAACAAAAGTATTGGTTTACAAATGAATTTACATAACAAATTTTCAGAAGTACAAACTGTTCAGGAAGCACATAAGAGTGACCAGAACCTCTCTATTTACGAAATGTGTCAATAGCTATTATTCTTGAATGATCATAGAGCTACTTGATATGAAGTGTTTTTTCATAGTATCTTTTAGTAAGATAAGATAGAGCCTCTTCATCTGGTTTTTTTTTCCATTGTGGTGGGTTGAATGAGCATATTCAACTCAGTCCAAGCAGCATAGAACTGGTGGTGGTGTTTTAGACACTCTTTGGAAACAGAAACTTAGCGAGTTATCTGTTGTGTTTAGGTATCTTCCATTACTCTTGCAGAAATGATTTGGCGATAGTTCTGTAACTGATCTTGGTGTGAATCGGGTAGTAGTTACATTGCAAAATTGTTAATCCACTTAATTCCATAGACCAGGGCTGACTTTGGCCTTAATTCTATTCTGTATCTCTGTCATCTACTCCAGGGGAGGCTTTCTGATTTATGTAAGACAGCATATGTATGTTCCCCCATGTGAAAAATCAATCTCTTTTCTGTATATAGCAATGTGTGCTCACATAGCTGACTCGCAAGAAGAAAGCTGACATAAACCTTAATTCCTGTAGGAGAAAGGGTCAGGGCTTGCTTTCATCTTCCCAAATCTTTTGGAAGGAGCTGTTCTAAGAATGGACAGTCACTGCATATTGCTGCTGAGAAAAGCAAATGAACACACTCTTTAGAAGCAACAAAATTTAATTACTTCACTTGGAGTACAGTCAGGAGAGTAGTACTAATACATCATTCTTAGGAAGATGTCAGGGAACATGTGAAGAAAAACTGCAAAATATTTGATTTAGGCACATTCAGCAGCACAGTGTCAAAATACGATGAGTCACTATGTACCAGGCAGCAAATGACTCAAAGGAAGAGTGCTGCTTACCAACTTTCCAGCCCAAAGTGAAATACACTGACATTCCACTGATGCTGCCTGACTCTCCCAAACTCTGAAACCAGAGCCCAAAGAAACACAGACCACAGTCAGACTGTTTCTATTTGTACAGCTACCAATACTGGATGTGCTCATGCATGCATATATATATTTTTTATACAAAAGCAAATATATTTACATACAAGGCCTCAATTACAGTATAAATGCTACTTATGTGTGTTGGCAGGCCATACAAACTAGGTAGATTATCAGAAAGGCAGTTTTATTTTATGTATCTAGGCCAATAACAAGGAAAAAATTGTTCAGATTTACTTAAATCTTTATGCTTTTAGTGGAGTTTTATCCCACATTCAACTTTTTAATTAAGTGGTATTGCATCAGAAATTGGTCCACTCCACTTTGCATATATATTTGCGTTGGTGCATGTGTGATCCTACAGTAAGCAATGAGCTGGAACACAATACAGCATAACTGGGACTACTTCACTGTTCTTACAGGAGTGGGCTCCATTTCTACTGTCTTGCCTCTCATTTGGCAAAAAAGTCCAAATTTGGCTACAGACTTGTAACAGAACATTGTTGACTTCACTCTGCCCATTTTTTGAAGACTGGCATTAAGGCAATCATGTCATATATTTCTTTACCTTTGCTGGACAGGGCAATAAAGAGCAACCGAGAGTTGTAAATCTCTTGGAGCCTGAAAGTTTAAGCATAGAAAAAGAACAAGTGTGGCAGGGGGCCTTTAATCTCAGCTTCTGTAAGAAACATTTTCACCCATACTTTGCACATTTCAAACAAGCCTAAACCTGTATGAAACATCTGCTCAGTATTTTGCACCCAACTGGTGCTAAAAGTACAATAAGTGATCAGAAAACATAGGAAACTTAGTTTTGAGTATAAGATAAAGAGCACTGGGAGAGAACAGATTTCCTTATTTTTCTCTTTTGACAAGAGAAGACAGCGATTCAGTGTTCTCTCTCTTGAGATTCTTCTCCAACTGCAGAGTGGAGCCACTGATAGCTTCCCTTAGCTGGGATGTAGCCAGGTGGTTCCT